GAAGACAAATGAGAAACCAACTAATGGTACTTTTTATTGCCTCACACTGTATGGATTTGGGGTATCATGAAAGTTTGCCTTTTTTGAATGTCAGATTTACAACCAGGGTCTACAAATTTTACATTCAGTCTCCATGTGCAGGAACCCTGTACCCAACTGCCAAATGAGAATTTTAGGGAACATGGCTGGACCATAGTCTGAATCCTATGTTTAATAGTTGAGAAGACATTGTGAGACCAGACTATAGTCAATGAAACTAGAAGTGTTGGATGCGGGGTAAGACTTACTGGAAATTGCTTTCCGGAATGCTTTCAGGAGAGGAGAGAGTGGCTCTTAACTTTACATAAAACATGTCACCAACACAAAGTCCTCAGAACTGGTCACTCAACATTGGAAAAAAATACAGAACACTAAAAAACACTGAAGGTGGCAACTTCAACCTTGCAGATGTTGACATTGAGACCTTGAACTATACCATCTCATAGGAATTCCCCTCTATGTGATATACATTAGGAAAATACTTTCCAAGTTTTCAGGTAAATGAAATGCCACTTGCTTGAGTGTAGTCTCATTTTTGGACCAGGCAGAGGAAATGGTCTAGATTTAAGGACCACTCTTGCCTATGATATTTTCTTCTTAGGTAATCACCAGATTATTCAAGTTGTCCTTCAAATAACTGGCTGAAATAAAATTTAAGTTTGCCTTGAGCCAGAAAGGGATCTTCTGGCTCATCTACTGTCCATCCTTGCAGATGTTTGTGAATTTTTCAAAATGTATTCTAGGAAGATCGGCACATAAATTACCCCCAGGTTATGCCCACTCTTATCCCCATGTGCCGCATGCATTTCAGAACCACAGATCAATGCTCCTGGAGGCTCCTCAGCTGAGAAAGGTGCCTGACAACACCATCCAAGAGGACTCTTTAGTGCCAGGCACATGTCTTTCTAAAAGAATCAGCCTCCAGTCCTAGTTCTCCCCCAAAGCTCTAAAAGAAGAAAGGATCAAGATAAGGGGAAGTGACTAATATACAGGCAGTAGGACGGAGCAAATGAGATTGAATCCTCCAAGGGAACCTTAAAGCAATCCAATCCTGTCCCCACAAAGAAAATGCTAGAACTGATCAGCCAGACCTTAGGACTACCTTTAAAGTTTTGTGAATGAGGTGGCTCCTTATTGGGAGAAGCTGCTCACTCTTCTGAGCTGTCTTGAAAGGAGCACTGCACATGCAACACTGAATTAAAGCTGAGTTGCTGGAAAAATTCTGCATAAAATGTAGTGTTATATGTGTGTAAAATGCATCATAGTCCGTACTAGTCTATAGCATAAATAATTATAGAGAAGGAAAGCATCATCTGGACCTTTAAATCAAGATGTGCGTTTAACGGTCAGTGTTTTTCTGGACTTTTGTGTGATCATTACCTCCCTGAGAGCAGATGACCCAGTGGAAAAACCCCGCTGCCTTGTCAGGGTTTGATATCTTCGCTCCAGCTGAACCAGCTTTTCCTTTTCCTGCAATAACACATGGGGATTAAACAAAGAATGACTCATACCGAAAATACATTAGAAAAAAATTGTGGGAAAAATTGCTCAAAGAATTCCACTACAATTATTTACAGCAACACTAATGTCAAAACAACCACAACATAATTTCAGAAAAGGCCACATCTTTCTAGGAGACAAAGAAACAAACACTTATGTTTTTGGCATTTCTAGCCATCTGCTGCAAAAACATCTCCCTGCCCTCCCTAAGCTTCTCACCTCCCTTCCAAAGAGATTGAAAATAAAGTAAAACAATGTCAGAACCATCCCATGGTCTACAATGAAAACAATGCTGTGCACTTTTTCTATATTTTACCTTGTGAAGCTGTACTAAAGTGGCACTTCTTTCCTGACCAAGACGTTCAGCATCCTGTGCAGACTGAAATCTAATTTGATTGGCTTGAAGCTCCAGTGCAGCCAGGCGTTCCTGAAGATACAACAAATGAGACATCCTTACAGTTACTTAACTAGGTAGAGTCCCATAATACAGCATAAGCGCACTCATACCATGCAAAACCAGCTTTTTACTTTTTTCTGGCAGGTAAAAGCCAAATGTGATCTTAAAAGTGACACTAAACTCAGGAGTTAAATCTAAAAGATGCATTCAGGTACCCTAACTATTAATAGAAATGTATCTTATTTCTGTATCATTCAACTGTAGATCCTCAAATCATCTCTGAATTGGTGCTGACACTGTCCTTCCTTCTGGAGGGTGACTACTTTTGCCCCCCATGGTCCCTGTGTGTGTTGTAAAGTAGCCAGCACTCCAAGCTCACTCCCATTGGACTACAATCTCATGTTTAATTTAATGATTTGTATTGAGATTGTAGTCCATCCCAGGAGTGAGCTTGGAGTGGTGAATACTTTATAATACACACAGACGGTGTTAGCACCAATTCAGAGATGATTTGAGGACCTACAGCTGAGTGATCCACAAATAAGATACATTTTTGTTCACAGTTAAGGTACTTGAATGTATTTTTAAGATTTGAAGCCTGAGTTTTTGTCACTTTACCTCTTAAACTTAGCTTTTATTACCCGGTCTGTTTATTAAGGTTTTAACCCAATATTCACACAACTTTCAAATTTTCAACATAAGATACCATTAGAAAAATGTGTGAATCTTGGGTGAAGGTTGTGTGAATCTTATACGGAAAACCCATAATAAACAGTCCCAATAGTGTTAAGGTTGAATGAATCAAGCAATATTGTTATTTACAGTAAACTTATAAGATGGTATTGTCCATTTTAGAATCAAATACGATATATTACAGCTGAATAAATAAAAAGAAAGCAAAGAAGATTTGTTTAGGTAACTTAAAGTGTATTCGTACTTTTACAGCCAAATTAGGATAACACCTACTTTATATTTGTTACATGTTCCCATATAGCATGTTCTCATATAGCATAAGCTAAAGAAAAAAAAAATGCTTCTTGCAGTTTAAATTTATTTACTTGGGTTCCTTGGCTTCTTAAGGGTTAAAATTTCTATTCTTCTCCTTTTTTGTAAATGAGAGAAACACAATCCTCAAATTTCAGTGCTAAGTTTTTCTAGAAGTAGAAATCACCATGAAGGTGCTGAGAAAAACCTAGATTCAGCCATGTTACCTGCTGAAACAAACCCTAATGGTAAGGAATATTTAGTAAAAATACATTTTTCGTTAAGCTGTGTGACTAGGAACACATAACAAACACATAGAAGGGTTTTCTCACATTTGACTGCCAACGTGGAAATACAATCTAAGGTTCCTGATGTTTAAAGTATGTTATATTTGATAAATGTTTTGCATTCATACAGCACCACTATATTTAACATTTGCTGCTTAACTTTTTACTTATTGAAAAATCTTACTTAGCTTTCCTTGCTATGCAATGTTAAAGTGACACTAAGCTCAACCTTAAAAATCCATTCAAGTACTTAAAGGAGAACTATGGGGTAACTGTTTTCCCCATAGTTCTCCTAAGGGTCACGGGAGGACATAAACTAGCGTCCTCCCGTGACCCAAAGCTCAGTGTATCGCGAGCTACAGCTCACGGTATACTGAGCCCGCCGCGGCCGGGAAGGCTCCCGACATTACTGTCAATTCAACTGTAGATCCTCAAATCATCTCTGAATTGGTGCTGACACTGTCCTTCCTTCTGGAGGGTGACTACTTTTGCCCCCCATGGTCCCTGTGTGTGTTGTAAAGTAGCCAGCACTCCAAGCTCACTCCCATTGGACTACAATCTCATGTTTAATTTAATGATTTGTATTGAGATTGTAGTCCATCCCAGGAGTGAGCTTGGAGTGGTGAATACTTTATAATACACACAGACGGTGTTAGCACCAATTCAGAGATGATTTGAGGACCTACAGCTGAGTGATCCACAAATAAGATACATTTTTGTTCACAGTTAAGGTACTTGAATGTATTTTTAAGATTTGAAGCCTGAGTTTTTGTCACTTTACCTCTTAAACTTAGCTTTTATTACCCGGTCTGTTTATTAAGGTTTTAACCCAATATTCACACAACTTTCAAATTTTCAACATAAGATACCATTAGAAAAATGTGTGAATCTTGGGTGAAGGTTGTGTGAATCTTATACGGAAAACCCATAATAAACAGTCCCAATAGTGTTAAGGTTGAATGAATCAAGCAATATTGTTATTTACAGTAAACTTATAAGATGGTATTGTCCATTTTAGAATCAAATACGATATATTACAGCTGAATAAATAAAAAGAAAGCAAAGAAGATTTGTTTAGGTAACTTAAAGTGTATTCGTACTTTTACAGCCAAATTAGGATAACACCTACTTTATATTTGTTACATGTTCCCATATAGCATGTTCTCATATAGCATAAGCTAAAGAAAAAAAAAATGCTTCTTGCAGTTTAAATTTATTTACTTGGGTTCCTTGGCTTCTTAAGGGTTAAAATTTCTATTCTTCTCCTTTTTTGTAAATGAGAGAAACACAATCCTCAAATTTCAGTGCTAAGTTTTTCTAGAAGTAGAAATCACCATGAAGGTGCTGAGAAAAACCTAGATTCAGCCATGTTACCTGCTGAAACAAACCCTAATGGTAAGGAATATTTAGTAAAAATACATTTTTCGTTAAGCTGTGTGACTAGGAACACATAACAAACACATAGAAGGGTTTTCTCACATTTGACTGCCAACGTGGAAATACAATCTAAGGTTCCTGATGTTTAAAGTATGTTATATTTGATAAATGTTTTGCATTCATACAGCACCACTATATTTAACATTTGCTGCTTAACTTTTTACTTATTGAAAAATCTTACTTAGCTTTCCTTGCTATGCAATGTTAAAGTGACACTAAGCTCAACCTTAAAAATCCATTCAAGTACTTAAAGGAGAACTATGGGGTAACTGTTTTCCCCATAGTTCTCCTAAGGGTCACGGGAGGACATAAACTAGCGTCCTCCCGTGACCCAAAGCTCAGTGTATCGCGAGCTACAGCTCACGGTATACTGAGCCCGCCGCAGCCGGGACGGATCCCGACCTTACTGTCGAGATCCACCCAGCTGCGTGAGTGACAGCTGGCTCTGCCTACCTCGAGGCAGAGCCAGCTGTACCCGCCCCTCCCCCGTCCGTTCCGCCAGTCAGCACTGGAGGATCGGACAGGGGAGGGGGGGGGGAATCCCTGCAGGGAGCCGTGAGTGACAGTCACGGCTCTCTGCAGGGACATGATTGAGAAGTGAGCGAGCGTCGGTATGTGTTCACTCACTTCCCAATCTATTGAGCCAACGTGTGACAGTTTCATTGTCACACGTCGGCTCGAACTATGAGGTTGAGTGAAAATCACTCACCTCATAGGTCTCCTTTAACAATAATGTATCTTATTTGTGTATCACTCGGCTGTAGATCCTCAAATTATCTCTGAATTGGTGCTGACACTGTCCTTCCTTCTGGAGGGGGGATACTTTTGTTCCCTATGGTCCCTGTGTGTGTTGTAAAGTAGTCACTGCTCCAAGCTCACTCCCGTGATGGTCTACAATTTCAATACATATTAGTAAACTAAACCGGAGAAAAAAAAATGTACTTCACGTCTGTCCCTTATCTGCACATTGCCATCTATTCTAAGCAATAGAAGCTGCCTTTAGAATCCTGTGGAAATGCACTTTAAAGTATATTTTCACTTTTGCAGCCACATCGGTATAACACCTACTTTACATTTTTCATATTCACATTGTACAACTTTTTTTTTTTAAAAAGCCTGTTTAAATTTTAAAGTGTTTTTACTTGCAAAAAATCTTCAGTCTTCAAAGCACTTTAAATGACAACCTAATGCAATCCCATTTCATGGCTTCATCTTCTGCTGCTTAGAGCTCAATACAACATTGATTTTATACACACACACTTACCGTATATACTCGAGTATAAGCCGAGATTTTCAGCCCATTTTTTTGGCTGAAAAGTGCCCCCCTCGGCTTATACTCGAACTATGAGCAATTCTTTTTTGGCACTCTCCCTTGGTGTGCAGTAGTTGCTGACTTGCTGTTTCTCTCTCTTCTTCCATGCGGCTCTCATTTTCCAGCTGCTGGAACTCCAAATCTTCAAACAGCTTCATCTGAGATTCTAGACGGTCAGATTCCTGAGTGTCAAGAAAGTCAGGGGTAGTTTTTGACATTATTCAATATAAAAGGAGACGATACCCTAAACTACATTATAAAAAACAGAACAGTGAGAGGACATTACAAAAGATACTGAAAAGACAAATAAAAGTGACCAATACAGAAACAATTTAAGACCTATAAAAAGCGTAACAAATAAATCAGACCGAACAAAAAAGTCACAAAGACACCAACAAGCCCCCCAAAACACCCCACAAGCCACAACAGAAAACAGAGATCTATTAGCCAAGACTTTGCACCTTCTGCCACCATAAAGAAATCTACTATAGAACAAGGTGGATGTTTTGCCTGTTTAATAAGATGTATGTAAAAGTAATACAAAATAAAGTAGATCAAATATAAGACATATAACACTGGTGTATGTCTTTTCGATTTGTTTTAGGTTTGATTGTTTACCCAGTTCCAGAGATACCTTTTAATTTGGGGTTTTCCAATGGAAGACATTTGTGCATACCCGATAAAACACTTATACATACAAGCATAACAACCATCCTTGTATTTCACTGTATGAAACTATGCACTGACATTTATATGGCAAAATGCTCAAAAACCTCTACCACATACTGTATGCAAGTAACAAAAACAATAGCAAAGATTCCACTATAGTTAACCTCTTGAATCAAATTTTCAGTTCAACTTTGCAACATAAAGCCTTTTTTTTTTGGACTATATGCTGTATATTTTTAAAACTAACATTGTTCATAGCAACGTTGTTCCGATTAGTTCTCAAATTCATTCTGTTCAGGGGTTTAGAAGATATGATCAGTGATCACTTGGTGTTGTCTGTCATAATTATATTACTATCACACCTTAATTATGTCTGTCCAATTACGGTCTGGAAAATAAAGACGTCTATAAATTACTGCCAGTAAAACTGTAACCAGACAGGCGTATGAGAAGCAATAACCAAAGTAGTTTATCATTTTAGGTTAGTCATTGTTAGCAGTAGGTATCAGTCAACATACACATGCACTTATTCCTACTGGATGAACCTAAACCATAGGTAGGTGTGGTAGAGAGTGTGTACAAAGAAGAGTGTAGAGCTCAAAACATGGCTACCAGGAGTGAACATGGCAATGTTGGCAGCATAAGAAACCAAAAAAGACTAATTGAAGAAATTATCCTAGTTTTTAAAGAGTTCACTTTCACTGGGAAAAAAGGGGAGGAAGGAAACTGTTGCATATATAATGTGCAGGCCTCTAGAGGTAATTTTAATTTCACTGTTTAGCCAAACATTATTGGATTCGATGAAATACCATTCCACTTATGGCCAGCCTTAGCTGTAATAGTGAAAAAATTGGCTCTGCCATAAAATAGTCCAATTTATTGGTGCTGAAAAGCCGGCGTTGAAATGTTTGCGCTGAATACAACTGATCCACTGGAAAGCTATCTTCATAAAGGCTCTATTATAAGAAGATTGGTTTATTTTTGTTACTAGGTTTGGAAGGTTAATTTTCACATTGGAGGCCATGTAATAGGTTTTGAGGTATCCTGGAGCATTTTGTTTCAGCTGCTCAGAAAGAGATGCCAAATCCGATACATAGCATGCACGTTTGCAAGCAAATAAGGTGAGAAATAATATGTACAAGATTAAGTAATTATGCTCATATAGGATAGAAAGTGATGACTTTGCACATTGCAGATAACCAGAAAGCAATGACTATGAGAAAGTCTCTTAAGATAACAGGTATACTCAATACATAGGCAGAGTGTGAAGAGTAAAGAAAACTATGCAGAAGGTGTGCAGGTAAAAAGCCACAAAAACATGCACAGTGCACAACAAAACACATGGTACAGACATATAACCAAGCTGAATGAGAGGAAGCAAGGCATTTATATAATGAAGAAGAATGGAGATATGAGGCAAAAAGTTGTGCCAAATAGGGCCTACTATTGATTGGCACACTGACCCTTGTAAGCTGGCACTGCACCTGCTCCCTTAGAGCTTCGGGGCAATTATGGAGTTGCCTCTGCAGATCATGATGTGAAAGCTGAACACTCTGCATTTCCATCCTCTGCTGCTCCAGCTTCTCTCGCATCTTAATCCCGTAGGCATATCCAAAAGACAAAATGGGGAACAGGACACTGCACTAAAACCTCAGCCATGCGCAGGCAGAATAAGACAGATATAATAAGTGTTAGAAAAAGAGAAATGAAAAAGGAAGACTAGAGAAGAGAGTTAAAGGATGAAAGGAACACAAGATCAAATAGACAGGAAGGAAAAAAAAGAGAAAGAAAAGTAGGAAGACTAGATTAGAAGACAGCAGGTACGTTGGTACAAGGGGAACTCATTTAACAATCTTGACTGCCAGAGGGAACTGCAACTGACACTAAACAAGAACATGAAAACAGAACAATCACACTTTCTATGATCACAAAATGTATGGCACATCAATTATCTAGATTATTGGTTGTGTTGGTTTTATTGTACAGTACCTTTATGCAACACGGTAAACAAATATTGTACAAATACTTTCACTTGTTACATAAAGACACCATTTTCACAGTAAATTTGGGCACACAATTCTAAAAAGAATAAAAGATTGTAAGTATGTGATATGGTATAAATATGACAATACAATAACTATATTCACTGGCGTTGAAACATGAAAAGGTATTGCAAACGTAAACCTTTATTTAAGTTAAAGCTCCCAACTAGAGTTGAGGCTGGGCTTGTTGCGAACCCAGTTCGCCTGATTTCACCCAAGCTCACTCTCAAACCTCTAACCAGCACTCCCTTGTCCTGACCCAATCAGTGTCAGTCGTTGCAGCAAGGGCATTTCCAGCTCCTTTGTGATGTATGATGTGGGGTGGGAAATACGCCTCCCTGCAACTGATTGGGTCAGGAGGAGGGTGTGATGGTCAGAGTTTTCAGTGGGCTTGGGTGAACTCTGCCAAACTGGGTTCGCACCAAGCCCAGCCTCATCTCTAATACCAATCTGTCACTTCCATCTAATAACAGGCACCTACATATAGATGTAGCTTCTGTTTTTTGTATAGCGCACCCAAGAGCCTTCAAAACAAGGGGAACAATAGTATGCAAATTCATCTTGCCCTTATGCACTTATGCATTCTAACTTCCAAGTTTCAATAATTGTCAATGAGGCTGCCTCTCACAGTGAAGTCCAGTTGGCAGGAATGGGAGGTTTCAGTTGAAGGTTCCGCTTGCTAGTTAAAGTTTGCATAATAAAGCAGCATGTGGTTTGTGCCCCCCGAAGGCTTTCCAGAACAAATCTCACACTGCTTGCAGACAACTCCCTGTTACTAGTCAGAAGTGGTAGTATGAAACCTGGAGTTACAGGTACACTTTAAACTAGGTTTCTCACAGTTGCATAAAATCACTTCTGTAAATCACAATTGGATTACACTCAGCAACATCAGCATGCATTAGATTAGAGGTTAGTAAAATTAGAATTGTAGGCTACCTATACCGTGTATATAAATCTAAATTTTTACCAATTATTGTTTGTAACTCCAAGTGAAGCTGTATTACAAAAAATCAAACATTTTCAAAGGACATCAGATATTTGTTCCTATTTTAATTTTTTGTTTGAATAGGTAACAGTTTGGTAACCACAGACAATAGCATCTTCCCCCAAATTTTCTAAGAGATTATTAGGTGCAGTGCTTTTTTTCTACTAATAAACAAATGCACATAAACTGCAAATCATCAGCAAATACTTAACATCAGTGTAAACGTACTCAGGCTAAGGAGTCTGAAAGCAAATAACTTATGCAGCCACTAAATATGTGAACCAGGAAAATCGTTCACAAACCTTCCGAGGTGCACAAATTAAATGGCCACGTGTCAGCAGAATATATTGATATGGCTAAATAGCAACAATATTAATGAAGTGATTAAACACAAGGTCTCTGGCAAGAAAGGTTAGGAGCTACTTTAGACCTATGCATTACTGTAATGCAAAAAAAAACAACACATTTACTGCATGTTACTTGTTGTGGTGCATTACGGTGCCAGAATAGTAGGTAAGTACGTTACGTGCCAATAGACCCATGTGGCAGGGCATCATAATGTGCATGCCATGCATTGTGGTGGGCTGTATTTAAAGAACAATCCTTGGTAAGATTTTTATTAACCCTTGGAGTGGGACTAGCCCTGCACTGCAAGACTTAAGTGCTCGCTTTTGCCTAGGGTAAAAAATAACAGTTATACTCACCCAATGCTCCAAGCTGGCCGGCTGTGACAGTGCTCCTTCCTGCCTGTCTCCTCCTCCACTGCAGCGATGTCCATAGGCATCCTTACGTCCTATATTGTGTGTATGGAATGTGATAACTCAGGGACCTTAGACCGCCGCAGCAGAGGGGGAAAGAGGCTCCAAGGACTGGTCTAAGAGCAAGCCAGCTTGGAAGATCGAGTGAATATAACTTTTTTTATTTTTGGCCCTATGCAAAAAAACAAGCATTTAACCCATGCAGTGAGGGGGTAGCCCACTGCAATGGTTCAAACATTTTTACCTGGAGCACTGCTTTAAAAAAAGCAACAGGTCTGATTTTTGGTCCGCTTGTGTGTTGGCAGCTCATTAAAAATGAAAGGGCTGCCTTAACCCAACACACAAAATGCCACAAGTTAAAAGTGTGTTCGGTCACATGTTGTAACAGATCTTAAAGATGAGTAGCAGGCATTTCAATATTAAAACAGTTAATAAAAATGACAGCTCCCGTTCAAGATCATTGCTAGACATGTGGGATAATTTGTTTCTCACTGGGCCTTACCCACTCAAACAAATCAATGTGATTATTACAAATGATAAAGCTTAGTGAATCAGGTGTTTTTATTGATAAGGCAAAATCACTAATTTGTGACATCAGACTAGGTTCCCTAGGGGGACTGATGTCAGTGGTTCAATGTTCACTAAAGATGTGTGGAAAAAGTGTCTGCGTTACAGTATTAAAATGGGAAAAAGCACAGGCAAAGCATTTTTTCCACATTAATAATGCCAGACATTTTTGCTTCACTACTCAATCAAACATTTATCCCACGCTACTGGGAAACATCATAAGCCAACTCCAGCCAAAACCTTTTTTTATTAGGCTTTGGATAGACTTGGGAAGTGTAAATAGTACTGTCCAGTTTTTATTGCTGTTCATGACCCCGGGGAGATCTCACCTCATTTCCTGTCCCTGTGAAAGCCAGGCAAGAAATGAGGGGAGTGATTGTCACTGGCACAGGAAGACACAGGCAGTCATAATAACCAAAAAAGGTTCAATTTTAGGGCTGCAACAACTAATCGACATAATCGATTATAATCGATTATTGAAAAAGTTGTCAACTTTTTCAATAATCGATTAATCGGCTTCTGATCAGTTGGCCCTGTTCACGGCTCCACACACGCTGGGCGCCGCACCTCCTCCCCACCTCACGCTCGCCGCCGCCAGACCCGCCCGCCAGCATCCACGCTCTTCACGCCGCACCTCCTCCCCGCCTCACACTCACCGCCCGCCCACATCCACAATCGGCACAGGGACGCGGGGAGATGTAGTAAGGAGGAGCAGGTGTGGGCGGATGACAGCCGCCGATAGGTCCCATCTCAGAAACAAGTTGCTGGAAGACTGCTCAGTTAATCCTGCACTTTCCCACACATGGTGCTCTATAATGTATTGCTGGGATTTGTATTCCTCTATAGCTGATGGTACATTGTGCTGTATATTATACAGAGCAATGTACCATCAGCTATAGAGGAATACATTATACACTACTGGGATCTCCTATATAGCTGGTGATATTTTGTACTGAGCTGTATAGAGGACCTCAAATCCCAGCAATAATACATTATACAGCGCAATGCAGAATACCACCAGCTATAGAGGACTACAAATCCCAGCAATATTTCATTATACAGCGCAATGCAGAATACCACCAGCTATAGAGGACTACAAATCCCAGCAATAGTACATTATACAGCGCAATGCAGAATACCGCCAGCTATTATGTACTATTGCTGGGATTTGTAGTCCTCTATAGTCGGTGCCATTCTGCATTCATTGCTGTATAATTTTACACTTTCCTTTTCACTATATTGCACACCACTATTTTTTTTCTTTTCTTTTTTACTTCTACCGCTCCAAGCTTGCTCCTGTGATGGAGTGCAATCTCAATACAAACTAGTAGTCCATCACTGGAGCCATTTTTAAAAATGTATTTTATTGTTTATCCGATTAACCGATTAATCGAACTTAATAATCGGCTAACTAATCGATTTTGAAAGTAATCGTTAGCTGCAGCTCTATTCAATTTATTGCAGTCTTTGACCCCACTGGAGAGACTTCCGACTTTACTTCCTGACCTTAAATAAAACCTTGCAGAGGTCATATTCCTTCCCTACTCTGTCCACTAAAAAAAAAAAAAAACCCTTTGGCTGAAGTTGGACTTCAAGCTGCCCACATATCTTACAATCTGACTGTACAATCTCCTTCAGAAGTGCCAACAACTATGTAGTACAAGGACCTACCTGACTGATTAAGAGAAATGCTCATGTAGGCCCCTCATGCTGCACAGTTCTTAGTAAATCCAAACTCGATTGTAAAGATATTGTGTAATCAGACTGTAAAGTGTGTGACCAGCTTGATTTCTGAGCAGTAAACACCCTTGTAAAAGTTGCTTTCTCTTACATAGTTATACATTATGTCAGAAAAGAAAATTTCATAAATAAAACTGGATCTAAGTAATAAACATAAAACACACATAATCCTGCTTCTTTTGTAAAGGACCAGGACCATGAAGAAGGTTTTATCCTGATTAATGCATGTGGTTAAGGCCTGGTTCACACCTGGGCGTTTTGTAGCGCGTTCGAAGGCTCTGCAAAACGCTCAATCACTGAAATCCCATTATTTTCTATGGGTATGGTTCACACCTGTGCGTATTACAGGCCTTATGAACGCGCTACAAAACGCCCTACGCCCAAAGAAGTACAGGAGCTTCTTTGGGGCGTTTTTGTCGCGCGTTTCCATTGGGATACAGCCAAGTAGCCCATATTGTTTACCGCAAATCGCTGTAAAAACCCGCGTCACGAAACACGCGACAAACGCGCATATTCGATACGGTATATAGGTGTGAACCCAGCCTAAGACTTGTAATTGACGTATTCAGGATAAGATGCTTTTATTTATATATTTTTTCTCACATGCAGACCATGCTGCCTAACAAAACAGAGGTTCGGGACAAACTAAAGCTAAAAACTGTGCCTACAAAGGTTATCTTTTGTTCACATAGTTTTAGGCTGGCCATACACTGTACGAATTTCGGCCAGTTCTTGAAGGACCAGACGCAATTCCCCCACAGTGTGGCCCTATCAGCACTCGTCTGTCTGGCATCCTTAGATCAGAAAATCAATGGAACCAGTCAAAACATTTTCAGGTGAACAGTGTCGTCAATGTCCAGGTATTCTGACAGTGGCATGCCCGCCGCTGTCAGAATACAAAAGCCCAGCAGGAGATTCTTCCATTCACGCAGGGCCCTGCAGGTTGAAAAAAAACAATATAACATTGTATGGCCAGTTTGTTTTTTTTAATTAAAGAAAAAACTCTGCTGCTGGTGCTCAAGTCCCCCTGACATTGTTATGGTTTGTCTAAACCCCTGTCACTGTTGTTGGACAGCTTGGTCTAAACCAAAAAAAAAAAAAAA